AGAAATACACAGTTCATTTCCCTGGGATGTGAGACCAAAGATCAGATTCTATTTTTTTTTTGTTTTTTAAGGTGACTGGTAATGGAATCTTAACCCTTGACTTGGTGTTGTCAGCACCACGCTCTCCCAAGTGAGCCACTGGCTGGCCCTCAAAGATCAGATTCTAAGAGTGGCCTTAAGAAGCTTCTGGGAGGGCTGGCCTGTGGCTCACTTGGGAGAGTGTGGTGCTGACAACACCAAGTCAAGGATTAAGATCCCCTTACTGGTCATCTTTTTTAAAAAAAGCTTCTGGGAGAACAGGGTGCTTTGGGGGGTCTGGGAGCTGCCACAGGCAACTCATATGCCAGATCAGCAGTCAGACGTCCCCTCTCTCCAAACGGCTCGCCCTGGAGGCCCAACATTGCTGGGGTCCCAGGAATGCAGTCTGATCATGCCTTGTTGGGACCCAGCCCCCTTAGGAGAAGTATGGGGAGGGTCCCTGTGGCAAGGACTTCTGTAAAGTCAAGGCACATGGGGCTGTGACCTGGGACACAGGCGAGAGCTCAGTTCTCAGCAGTAAGGGACGAATGAGGTCAGGAGCTCAGTAGCCTTGGGGTCTTCCCAGGAGGCTTGGTTTGGCTCTGGAAGCCGGTGACAGGAAGGGGTGGGCCTAGACAGCTGGAGAAAGGTGTGAGGGTGAGCATGGACGTCTGAGCTGGGTTTGGCGCAGGCCAAGAAGCAGGTTGGGGCCGAGTTGGTGCCCCGTGGCAAGTGAGGAGGTGGCCTACCGCGACTTCCTTTCAGTCCCTCACTATTCTTCCAGTTCTCTGCTGTCTCCAGGGCACCAGGGGTGGGTGTGTGGCATGGGGTGTGGGGAGAGGAGACAAGGGCCCGGTCAGGCTAAGGTAGACAAGAACACCAGTGGCCAGTGGCATCCTCCAGTGGAGGCCGCTGAGTGAGAACCAGAGCACACGTCATCCAGTGGCCCCCCCCCAGGGTTCCTTTCAGTCCCTCACTATTCTTCCAGTTCTCTGCTGTCTCCAGGGCACCAGGGGTGGGTGTGTGGCATGGGGTGTGGGGAGAGGAGACAAGGGCCCGGTCAGGCTAAGGTAGACAAGAACACCAGTGGCCAGTGGCATCCTCCAGTGGAGGCCGCTGAGTGAGAACCAGAGCACACGTCATCCAGTGGCCCCCCCAGGGCTGGGTCTGGGGGCCGGGGCTGCTCTGGGCCCTCTGCTGCTGCAGGCTGGGGCTGTACCTGCTCTGGGGTGCCCTGGCTGCTGCTCAGCTGAGTCCCTGTGGTCTGCAGGAGAAGCCCTTTCGGTCTGAGATTGGTGACATGCCCACCTTGCCCCAGGGTGGCCTGTCTCCTATGTCTCACCTTTATTGCTGTCTTTAAAAAGGCATATTTCTAACTTAAAAGAAAAAAAGAGAGAAACGAGCACCAAGCGAGAGAATGCGATCATTCTCCCATTGCCTGCCTTGGTCGCAAACAAGAAGAGTGTTGGGGGGTGTGCACTGGACCTTGCCCACGAGCTGTGGCTTCTCTGCTCAGAGCTGTGGTCTCGCCCAAGGTCTCCAGAGGTGGCTAGGTGGTGGCTCCGCCAGGAGGGGGCTTGGGGCTGGCAGCCCCTCACACACAGCAGGCATCTCCCTCTTTTACCAAACCATTCTTTTAGTGCTGGGGGTCTGACCCCTGGTGCTGGGTGGAGGTGGCAGGGACTGAGTTCTGTGTGTCCCCTCACCACCCTCTGATGTTCCAACATCCTTATTGTCACCTTGTGTGATATGGATGACAGGAGGGTGCTAGGCAGGGGATCTGTTGTGGTGGGCCACATGAGAGTCCCCTTGCCCTTGGTGAGGCTTCTGGGTGTAAAATCCTCCCAGTTCACACAGGTGGAAGGCAGAATCTCAGCAAAACACACCTGGACTGTTCTGGCCTGGGGCGCTTCGCCATGCCCTTGGGGGAACACAGAGGGAGACACCCAGGTCAGACCGTCCCACTTCCTGCTGCTGTAATCTGGGGAGCAGAAGCCTTCACTCCAAGTTCTGATGCAGTTCATGGAGTTTGGGGGATGCCCTGGGGCTGGGCGGAGGCCTAGGGGGTTTCCCCTCTCACCCTGGAACCTGCCCCTGCCTCTGCCGGAGACTCCATCACTGCAGTGCGTGTCGTGACCAGCCAGCCCCCAGAGTGTTTGCTTCATTTGTTCTGCTTGACCTAGGGTGGTGTCGTGTGGCAGCCCTCAGAGAGCTGGGGCTCCTGAGCGTGGTGCTGGGATTGAGGTGCACGCCAGCTCCTGCAGGCCTCGTTTTCAATCCGAGGTCTCAGCTGCAGGGAGCAGGTGGTGTGTGCCCCAGGAGTGTGGGGGGTGGGAGTGGTGACAGCTGCGGGGCTGGTTCCCTTGCCCCAGCCTAGGAGCATGGGCAGGCGAGGCATCCCTCGGGGCCCTGGACCCTTTGGGTGGAGAGTCCTGGCCCGGCCGTTCATGCTGTGTGGTGCTGGAAGCTGTGCTGTGCCGTCAAGTATCTGTCTTCCTCAGACCCTGTATGGGTCCAGCCCCAGGGCCTTTGCACCTGCTGTCTCCTTTACCCTGTGGTTTGTCCCCTCTCCCGGGGCCTTCCCTGTGCTGTCTCTCTGCTGCTTGGCTACCCATCTGCCTTGTCTGTCTGGCTGGCCACCACGTCCCCCACACCCAGAAAACTGCCCAGCACTGGGCAGATGCTTGCTTTCCTTATGTCTGTGAAGGGAGGTGGGAACATTGTCGTGTTGGCCATCTTGGGGTGGGCACCAGACTGGCTTCCCTGGCAGAGCTGGTGGGTGCTGAGCTCTGGTTTCCAGCCATTGTCCTGGCCTGGCTTTAGGTCAGCAGCAGCAGCCCCAGCCCCAGCCAATGTGGACTTGTGAGGACACAGGCCTCCGTCTCGTGGTGAGGTGGTGGTTAGAGACCTCCCAGGACACTTGGAGAACCCAGCAAAGCCCTGGCACCTCCCTCCCTCCCAGGGAAAACCCCTAAAGGAGGTCCTGTTCCAGGGTCCCTCTATCCTTGGTAGCCTTCCAAGGGCTCCACCTTGGGCAGCCCTGAGTCATGGGGCTGCAGGGCCAGATGTGGGAATCCCCCAGGGTCCCTGTCCCAGCAGTGTCATGCACTTGAGCTGGGTTCACTGAAAGTGGTTGTGCTCCATCTCCCTCCAGTGGGTGGTTCTAGGGACTGTGCCCCAGACTGGGGCACACACTGCCTCTGCACTCAGGCAGTTGTCTGATCTTTTTGAGCCTCAGTTTCCCTATGTGGAACATGGGGGAAGGGGCAGCCCTCTGTAGGCTCAGGAGAAACAGACCCCTGCCTGGGAGCCTGAGGGCTTGTCTGCGAGTCATTCCTGTGCTCAAGTGTTGTCCGTCGTCTGGTTGTTTGTTTCGCACATGCGTGCAGAGCTGCACTGCTGTGCCAGGGCCTCAGGAGGCCGACGGTCTGATGGGGGAGACTGACAGACTTTTGTCGGGGAGTTTCAGACAGTAACCCGTGGAGAAGCGCGTGCAGAGCTGCACTGCTGTGCCAGGGCCTCAGGAGACCGACAGTCTGATGGGGGAGACTGACAGACTTTTGTCGGGGAGTTTCAGACAGTAACCCGTGGAGAAGGTGACCCCTCAGGTGAGGTGCGTGGTGTTGGGTGCAGTGGCTCGGTGGGAAGCGCCTTCTGGTGGAGGCAGTGCCTGTGCAGAGGCCTTGGGGCAGCGCCTGGCTTGGCTGGTAGAGGGGCTGTGAGGGGCCTGGGAGCTGGAGCATGGTGGTCTGGCAGAGCGGAGGGCGAGATCTCATAGGCCTTCAAGGTGAGAGGGAAAAACGGAGGCCTGCTTGGGCACATAGCTCCTCCCTGGCCCCCATGACTGCCTGCTATGGCCATGTAGGGCAGGACTCAGCCCTCAGCCCGCCTGATCCCTCATCTCATTAGAAGGCCGCCCGTTACCATGGCGATTGCCGACAGGCCTGACCAAGGCCTCTTCCATCTGCAGAATGAGGCCTGGGAGGGGCCCGGAGGTGGGGGTGTCGCTGGGTCCTGCGGGGGGTGCCCTGGGAGACTGGGGCTTAAACATCTCTTCCCATACAGAGAAGTAGCTACAGCCGTCTCACTCCAGGTCTTCCTGGGGCCCTGGCCTCAGGGCCCTGTTCTGCCAGCTCTGTGGGTGCTGCTAGATTGGAGGTTCAGGCTCAGCAGAGGCATCAGACAGAGGCAGGGTTCTGCATTATGTGGGGCAAGGGTCCTGTCAAAAGGGGTGGGGGTGGGCCGGCCCGTGGCTCACTCGGTAGAGTGCGGTGCTGATAACACCAAGGCCACGGGTTCGGATCC